GATTCACTGCCATGTGCATGTCCAATGCCATTCTTCAGCTCCATCAAGGCTGTGAGCATATTTCTCTCCAGCGACAGTCCCACAAGTCCTCCTTCTCCTGACCCCCCCGTTACTGAGCCCTGGCCACCCTCTCCAAGGCCAGCTCCAGAGATAGCCACCAGCATACACTACACCAGGGAACTGTCTGTCTCTGCTGCTGCTGTAAGATGTACCCACATGCACAGCTACTGGCTATTCGTCTCACTAAAGAGAGGTGCCAGGCAGATCTTCTAATGTGTCAATATCATTATACTGGTAGTTGAGAAGTGCTAATTTACTTGGTGAAAAATGTAAGAAGTACTCTCCTGAAGCAAAGAATACAGACATCTGGCACAAATACACATGAAGATGATGCTTGCAGTACATGCTTTCCCCAAAATAAAGCTCTATAAAACCTAAGATGAATAAAATGTTTCCAGAGAATGAAGGCATAAATATTTTATGAGAAGAATATTTATGCTGTTATTCATACTGTCAGGGAAATTGGGAAGTTTCACTTAGGGAACAGGATTCCACTGTGCTACTTAACAAACTTACAGGTTGTCATTCAGAAAAGAGCTATGGTGTGCCTACTTACGTAATGTCGACAGAAAACAGCAGGACTTAAAGTTACTAAGCCTTGGGTGTAAAGATTCTCTGAGCAGAAATAAATGCCTAAAGAGGTTAAAAGAAATTCCCCAAGCACACAGCACATTGCATCAAGCTAATGCAAAGAGAAGAGAAACTCAGTGTTACTACTGAAGTTTAACTCACTTGCTCATTTGCATATCTTAAGCAAGGAGGAGTACAAAGTAGAAGGAGACAAAAAGAAACTCAAGGTCTTAACAACTTTCAGTTTTTATGCTATGTGAGGCAACTTGCAAAAATGGAAGGGGTTATTCTTTTTTTTAAACAGTATCTCTACAGGTTCTGATAAAGTGATCACAGTGATATAACAATACAATAGAATAACATACTAAAATATACTAAATACCTTTTTTAAAGCATCAGCTCAACATGTGATTATATGAGATTCCCAGCTTCCATTAAAAATAGAAGTCCAGATTTTTAAAGGTGCAGACACGTGAAAGTCAGATTTTCATTGAGCACCAGGTACCTAATCTCCAGTGATTCAATAAACAATACATGTTTTTTTAAATCTTATTCTATGGTCAGGTGTGCTATAACTAGAAATTCTCTGTGATTTAAGGTTGCTAATGTGTTCCAGAATAAGCTTGTGAGACTAGAAGACTAAAGGTTAACAAAGACAAGCAGCATGGCTAAAATATGAGCAAGGTGGCTAAAATACAGTATTTCATTTGTGTTCGGGAGCTCAGAGCAGATTGTAGGCCCTCAAGCTCTCATTTTAATGGCCCAGAATTAGTGCTTCTGTATATCTAATTTGAAACTTGATGCCCAGGTCAGAAGTCTGGGTCTCTGGTTGACAATATTAAGTGCCAGTCTGAAAGATCTGTGATTCTCTACATATGCATTCTCCAAAACTCAGGCTTCTTAAGGAGGCAGCATTTTGAGACATCTGGCTTTTAAGGCATCTAAAGTTACTGGTTCCCTGAGAATACATTTTCTGTGCTTGTCTCCATTGAGACATGCCACCTACTCATCTTAAAGTTACTGCATGTTTTATGAGTTTAGCTATGTCTTCGTATTTTAGGTTGGCATAGCCGCAACTGGTTACACGCTGTCACCTTCAGTATTTCATTGTAAGATATTGGTGAGCCACCTTTCCAAAGAGAAGGCACGTGTCAGAAGGTTTTAAATCACCTTTAAGGACAACTGTCAAGAGTAAGAATTAAAGCAGCGTGCTTGTTTCTCTTCAGCTGAAGCAAGTCCCGCTATTGATTCCACTGAAGTCATGACCATGAATAGTGCTGCGATATTTTGGGTTCTTTATTATAGACAGAAGGAATATATACTGTGACCAAGAATGACTAAGACTTTTTTTTCTTTCAAAACTAAAAAATAATTAGGAACTCCAAGCATTCCCTTTTTGCTGAACACAGCATGTCTTTTTTTTTTTTTTAAACTTAAGGAAATTTTACTGAGAAGAAAAAAAATAATCTTTCCTTTATTTTAAATAACCTACATACAAATGCTAAAGAAATAATAAAATTAGAGGAGGAAAAAACAACTAATACTACTTTGTAGATGCATGCAGATGAGTAACTGCACCACAAAACATACATTTGCCATTTTCTGCTCTCAGTTCACCATCTAGGAGCATTTTAGAAAGTCCTGTTCACAGCCTTTAATTCTGGACTTTAATTGCATCATGTTACACCCCAGCTAGCCTACACATCCTGTTGAATAAATTGATGTTGTTCGTTTGCCTTTGTAAACCAAAGACAAGCTAAATTGAATGCTGTTAACAAGCACTGGTGATAAAGCTTTTATTTGATTTCCTTAGAAAGGATGTGTGTACATCATGGAGATATTACTCCTCTGTGTAGTCCATAGCTAAATTACTCAGAATGAGGGAGTCACAGAATACTGAAGTTTGGAAAGGACCTCTGGAGATTGCCTAGTCCAACCCTTCTGCTCAAAGCAGTGTCAACTAGATCAGGTTGCCCAGGGCTGTGTCCAGTCAAATTTTGGTTGTCTCCAAGGATGTAGACTCTACAGTCTCTCTAGTAAACCTATTCCAGCATTTGACCACCCGCACAATGAAAAAGCTGTTTATGTTTAGATGGAATTTCTTGTATTTCAGTTTGTGCTCACTGCTTCTTGTCTTGTCACTGGACATAGGGTCTGATTTCCACTTCTTTATTTCCTCAAACATCCCCCACTCCCCCCATCAGGTATCTGTATACATTGAAGAGATCCTCCTCAAGCCTTCTCTTCTCTAGGTTAGACAATTCCAGCTCTCTCAGCCTCTCCTCATATGATAGATGCCCCAGTCTTTTAATCATCTCTATGGCACTTCACTGGGCTCACTTCAGTATGTTCATGTGTTCCTTGTACTGGGGAGCCTGGAACAGGACACAGCACTCCAGAAGTGTCCTCACCAGTATTAAATAAAGGGGAATAATCACCTCCCTCGGTCTGCTGGGTGCTGGTGACCTTTTCTGCGTGCATTGCTGGCTTATGTTCAAGATGGTGTCTACCAGGACCCCATGGTCTTTTCTGCCAAGCTGTTTCCCTGCCAGATGGCCTCCAGCCAGTATAGGTGCATGGGATAATTGCTTCCCAGGTGCAGGGCTTTGCATTTCCCTTTGTTGAACTTCATGAGGTTCTGTCAGCCCATTGCTCCACCCTGTCAAGATCCTCTGAATAACAACAGAACCATCTCATGTACCAACCGCTCCTCCAAATTTAGGAGGATAGGCTCTGTCTCATTGTTTGTCAATAGCGAAAATGTTAAACGGTACTGGTCCCACTATTGACCACTGGGGTACACCACTAGTGACCGGCCTGATCGCAACCCTTTCGGCCCAGCAATTCCGGCAATTTTCAATCCACCTCATCATCTACTTATTCAATCCTTATTTACTAAATTTGTCCGTGACGATGTTATGCGAGACACTGTTGAAAGCCTTGCTAAAGTCAAAATAAACAATATTCAGTGCTCTGAATGCCTCAGATTACCATGATCTTTCAAAGATGAACAACAGTGGCCTCACAACAACATGGTCCAGTTCCCTCAGCTCTTGTGAGGCCATCCCCATCGGGTGCCATGCATATGTGTACGTCCCATTTGTCAAAAAATTTGCTAACCTCATCCTCCTCTACCAAGGGTAAGTCTTCACTGCTCCAGACTTTCCCATAGGTCTCAGGGGCCTGGGATTCTTGAGGGCAGATCTTACCTGTAAACTGAGGTGAAAATAATGTCATGTAAGTTAGCCTTTTCCATGTTCTGTGTCACCAGGTCACTGCAGAAGTGAGCCCCGCTTTCCCTCATCTGCCCTTTGCTGCTGATATATCTGCAGAAGCCTTTATTCCCCTTTGTGTCCCTTGCCACATTCAAATCCAGGTGGGCATTGGCTTTCCTGACATGATTCCTGCACACTTGGACAGCGTCTCTATCATCCACCTGGGTCACTTGATCCTGCTTGCAGGTCCTGGTGTATTATTTATTTATATAATTTGAACAAAACACCTTTCAAATGATGAAGAATAGATTTCCTTTAGAGAGTTGTCCATACCCTCATCAAAGCTGAGCTGCTGTGCAGACAAGACCCCAAGAGGTGAGCCAAGACACACAGCAGACAAGAACAAGCCTAAGCAGACCTAAGGGATAAGAGCGCTTGACTGGCAAAGGGCAGTGCTGGGCTTCTACAGCACACCCCACGATCTGAAGAGAAATTCAGAGGCAGAAAGGGAACAGAGCAGGTGGTAGTCCTGTGGAGTGACACTGCAATCAGGTATCTCATTACAAGGGTGAAACAGCACAAACGGAGGATCTTATACATTATCAGAACTGACACTGGATTTCAGTCCCACTAAAATATGCTGCTACTCACAGAGGCCTATTAGCTGACAGAGTAACAGGGTTGGAAAGCTTTAGAGAAGACAAAATATTCCAACAGAGAAGCAAAAGCAGAATCTACAACATCAGAATTAACTACATGCTACTGAAAAGAGAGAGGCAAATAAAAGGGCTGAAAAAACCACTTAAATCAGCTGGTTAGCAAGGAGGAAAAAAGGAGAACTGGCTATGTTTTTAAATGAAAACGTGTAAGCCAATACTCAGTCAGTATAAACTGACATAATTCTATTATTATCAGTCACTTAACAGGTTTCTTACACAAGCTAAGTTCACTGTTTTGAATTGATGCTGTAGGCTCACAGGGAGGAACACACACCTTAATTGAAGTTTTACCTGCAGAAGGGTTGCAAGTTCAGACCCAGTGTAAAGGACCCTGGGTTTTTTTAAGCAACTATGTTTAATTTTCTAACCACAAGTTTATATTTTTGGATTTTAACTTTCGAAATACTGTCCCCATTCCTCTACAATGACCACCTACCTTCTTTAACTCTTCCTGAATACTTCTGTCATTTTCCTCCGAGTCCAAACTCTCCTTCTGGTTTTCAGGGTCTGTTCTAGGTTCTGACTCTTGATCTTCACCAGAAGACGTTCCCTTGTCACTCATTTTAGCAGCAAGCTGAAATAATCTGGATTTAGGCTCCTCCTCTGTATGGTCCGGCTTGATATGATGCTGATCCTCACCGCTTATATCTGTTTCTGATAAATCATCCAAATCCTACAAAGAAATTAGAAGAATGGTATAATTATTAAATAGGCACTGAAAGAAAAACAAACAGCTTTCTAGAAAAGTACAGGTATGATCACTTCAGGGAAACTAGAAAGAAAGAACACTAACGTGCTGGTAAAAAAATACCATGTCTTTACAGAGGAATGCCAGTAAACCCACACTTGTTGGATTATATTTATCATTCCTGCTTACTTTTATATTATGTAAAAAGGAACCATCAAAATCATTACATTATCTGTGTGCAACTAACAAAACATGCCTAACGGCATGTCCCATTCCCAGCACTGCACTGTGATCACTCTCAGGCATGGTGCAGAAAAAGGAAGTGAAGTGTGGGAATGAAATAACTTGTGACCTGGCAGTTGTGTCCAGCTTTCAGCTGAAAGCTGTCCTTGAGTTCCCTGACTGCCTGATCTTGAGCATTATCTGTGCTTTTCTTAAAGACTACTGGAAACAAGTTTTGAAAAATCTCTCTTTTATCGCATGATGGTACTTAAGATTGTCAGCTTTCCCAGTGATTATATACATAGGTGGATCCTCTACAGTGATAACTATTTTCCCAACGCCAACCTCCTTGGAACAAGTTCAATCTTTAGGAGCACCTTTTCTTACTCTTAGATCCTTAAAGGTGGGAAGTACTCAGAGGCTTAGTTAAGTACAGAGAGTGTAACAGACTCGATCACAAGTCCCTTACTTTGGAGGCTGAACAGAAGAAAAGCTAAATCTTTTTGCGAGTCTGTTTAGCAGGGTGCCTGCCCAACATTTAATAATGGGGAAAGGGGGATATTTTTGTCAGCGCTTGCCGAAAACTGAAAATATCTCACGGTTGTTTCAAAAACTAATGTCCAGATACACACCAATTCATTTTCTGGATCTGTTTAGGACCCAGTTTCCCCTGATTTCCACTACAGTCCATGGGGAGAAACAGGCATCTCCCAGAGCAACCTGCTCCACCTATAGAATTAACTGCCTTCTGGAAACGTTATTCTCTCCCTGCTGACTACTAAGAGAAAGTTTTGAATCATTAGACACTTTGTTTAGTGCTTCAGTCAAGTCCATAAAGTAAGGTGGAATTAGCTGGTTTTAAAAGCGACAAATTCTTTGAAATGGAGCATAATCGTGACAAAATCACCCAGAAGGAAGCTATGAAGAATGCAGTCTGGGACCAGAAGTGGTAGGCACATCCCAGCGGCTATAAGAGAATGATTTGGAGCAACTTTCAGATAGGAAGCTATTCCTATTTGCCTTCCGCTCTCCTACCATGTCAGGACCAGACACTGCTGGAGAGACTAAAAGCTGCACTCTCTCTACTATTCATCTGGAAATACACAAACAGGAGAATTGCTTTGCACAGCTACTCTCTCTGCAGTCGCAGAAGCAGTGTTTATGGATGGACCAATTACCTCCAGTTCTCAGAGGAAATGCTAACTCTGAGAACTCCCTCACAAACCCTACCTGCCAAGCTGCTCTTAATGGATTGACACATAGCGTTTCTAATGTTGGTCCTCATCTCTCATATAGTAAACTGTACTGTAGTGCCTAGCACTTTAACAGCTTTCTGGACAATTTTTGTCTGCACTTATCTGTGAACCAATTACACAACCAAATTATTGCTTTACAGCTCACCTTCGGTGCAGAAGGCCCTTTTAGAAAATCAGGATTTGAAAGTACGTGACTAGCTACAACAGAAGGGGAACCATGGGCTTATGCTGAAATTTATTCTTTTCCCAAACAATCAGCTTTTGCAGAATAAAAAGCCTTTTCTGACTTCAAAACTCTTCTGAATAAGATGGAGAACAAGATTTCAAATCACTGTTTCCACTTTACTTTTATAATAAGTTATGATATGCTTTTATATACATGCAGAAGACGGTGTCATTTCCCCTTTTTAATTAAAAATCCGTATTTATCGTAATAGTGCTTCCTCAAATTGTAAGAGGAGGTTTTTTCAGACATATCTTGCATGTCATTCAACAACAACTTATAACCCCCACCCAACTATCTGCTAATGAAAAATACATATTACTAAACTACTATAAAAAAATCTGAAAGTTATTGCTGAATCAATCAGTTAATCAATTTGTACCCAGGAGAGAAACAATCATAATTTATGGGATTTACAGGCAGAAAGCATGGCTAAACTGTGCATATCTGCATTGTATTTTAGAAGAATACAGTTCAGTGGAGCTGTTTACAGTTAGGTATCTAGCCTAAGCTAATTACTAGAATCCCTCTTTACTCAAGTTACCTCCACTTATTTAAGAGGTACCTCGAAAAACCTCTCATCTACCAAACCATATGGTTTGGGATTACAAAACTTGCTAGTGAGCTCTGACAGCTCTGTGTGAGTTTCCTCTAGCAGTGTCTATGCAGGAAGAGTATGGTTTACCTTGGGGTCGAGTCTGCAAGGAAGAGAAGAAAATCCCATTCTATGCAAACATTTGAACAGATCAAACTTAGAAAGACAAAAGTTTGCTATTCTTGTTTAAAGAAGCTGACAAATACATGTATAAAATCTAGTGGAGCAGTGAGGGAGGCTGGCAGTCCAGAGGGGTGTGTTTTCCCATGTTTCCTCCTCACTGCTGTACCATGAAGTACTGACAGACTTCATCATCCAGCAAGACATGCATGATTCCTCTGGGGGCCTCTGACATAGACCTGCTTAGCTTTAACTGCTTAGCAGCTATACTGGAGTAGCAATATACATATACCCCCACAGAAAGCACCATCAGTTAATTTAAAGAATCCATACTGACAACAGCAAAATCACAACTCCTCTTGATCCTGAAAAAATACCAGTCTTCCTAGGATCACACACAGCAGCACTTTTCAGGTTGATCTCTACTGCCTGTATCCAATTCTGCAGAGCCCTAGAGCTGACTTCCCATGTGTTTTGGAGGAAGACATGGCAGGACAATATTGCTGAGTTGCCCAGCTTCAGCAGATGAAAAACTGAGGATGTGGTTTTATGAAACAAGGTGAGCTAATGTAACTACCTAGCGCTGCTAAAGAGTCATCCTGCACGTTCCTGTCCTTTACTTGGTTGTAACGAGTGGTGTAGGCTTGGCATAGGGGTTCAAATGTATGCTAGAGCTGACAAGGGAGAGATACTGGACCACACTGGCGGCAGGTGGAGGGAAGGCAGGAAGGAGGTATTCCTCTTTTGGCAGCAGCAAGCTGCTATGTTACCTTAGTCACACATCACACCGCTACTGAAATGTCTCCAATCTAGCTTATGCTTTAACACACATAAAAGAATCAGCGCATACAAAAGAACTCATTGGCTGGGAAACTTCAAGAGCTTTTAGCTATGTTTGCCACCACAGGTGAAAGTCATGAGCTGTCTTGGCATCCCTAGGGTTTTATTCCACACTAGCTAAATCTGTGTTATGAATACACATTGTTTCTTGGGGGAGGACTCACCTTGATGGTATTGATTTTATTACAGCTGGATTCAGGTATATCTATTAGCCACATTTCTGCTTTCCAACCTCCTTACAATGAGCAGGTGGAGCATTTACATTTGCAAGAGTTGTTAGTTCCTGCTTACATGCAGAGATAATGATATTCTATAATGCTACGCTTTGTGGTTTCTATTCCTGGTAGGCTGTTTGGCTTGTGTGTTGAGCTTTTCAGATCGTGGCAGTGAACTATTTGTGAGGACTAGAAACCTCTTTCATGGGTTAGCAAATTAAAAAAACGTATTAGAAGCCATGACAACAATAATAAATATACTGAAAGGTACTATTTTTATTATTATTTATTTAATAGATGCTATCTTAAACTTCATTATTCCTTACTGTTCACACTTTGGCTCTACCTGGTAAGTTTAATAACATCTTTGTGTTTGTATAAATGACTGTGTAAATTCCCATTTACATCTATCAGCTACATATAATACTAAAATCTGCAAAGAAGAATAAAGGGCTACCGGTTTATCTGAAAATAGCTCCAGTGAGAGCCTGGCAGAATAATACAGCCACAAACCCAGTCCCACTAAAAGAAAATCAAGTGTTTCTATGCAAGCAGAAGCCCTTTAGCAGACAATGAACTAGGAAATGCACCTTTCCTCATAACACTGTCCAAATTCTTGCATGCAAATGGCTCAATTACTCAGTGTAATCCTAGTGATCAAAAAAGTTGCCCCAAAATAAAGCAAGTGAACAAAGTACTGGCTTGGAGGTTACAGAACCAAATCCACACCATAAACTCTTTATAATTTAAAATTCATACCATTAACTCTTGAGAGAAAGTTCCATTCATACAGGGAATCAAAAATCAGAAACTATAATTCTTAGGAGACGACACAAATTGTGAGGTTTGCAGACAGTTTCCCAGTGAGAGCCGGTGTAATTTCAGGGCAGCTATTTTCGATAAATACATCCCAAGCGCCACCCCGTGGGGACCGGCAGTCCAACAGCGCTCACCCCTTACCTGGCTGCAGGGCAGGAGGGATGTAATTAACAGGTGCGGTCTCCTGATCAAAGAAGCAAACTCAGAATGAGGGCACTTCCTTCACTTAAAGCAAGTAAGCCACTCCACTTCCCATCACAAATATAAGAATTGCAGCTACATCTCCTCCTCTCAAAAAGATAATGAAAGCCAATATTGCATATTATTATTATTAATAATAATGAAAGCAGAGTGGTGGCTTTGGCATTTCTTATAAAATGCTACGTTTTGAAAAATAATTATCATTAGAGCAAGGTTGAACTTCCCAGTTCAGTTTCCACAGGAATGTAAGTCTTCTGTGGTACATAAACAATCAGGTTATCAGAAATTTATTATAGTAGAATCTCGATTTTATCAGGACAGTATTCATGTCATGCTTCATGTACTTGCTTCATGACTGTGTTTACAGCATCTCTACAGGCCGCTCAGTAAAGCAGGTTGTTCTTCTACCTATCATTAAGCGGCAAAAAACTCTCCCCAAATACAGCATATCTTGATATCTGTTCTCAAGTTTTCCTTTTTAAGTTGCTCCAGACTTTATACAATGAATTGCCTCTCAGTCACAAAGTCAGCATTCCAGTATTGAGTCTAAAATACTTTTTTTAAAAAAATGCCACAGCATTATCCTCATCGAGGTATTGGATCTTCATTGAAAACTACCTAATTTTAAATAGAAATTCAGTTGAGTTACGAAATTACCACAGTTGTTCCAGAATGTAACTGCTTACCATTCTCTAGACTTGGAGCAGGGAGAGAGGAAAGGGCCCATTTTCACTTCACTGTGAGTCTTAGACAGCAGCAAACAAGAAAGCAACCTTCACTATTTGAAAATTAAAAAATAAACCCCCACTTTTAAACTACTAAACTGAAATCCTGTTCTACAATGACAATGCTGATGAAAACATAATGCTTATCAAATTATTATCTTATTATTACAATGCAGTAAAATAAGGTTATTACTGCAATGCAGGAAAGTACAAAAAAAGTATGTTTCTTCACTGCAGTTTACATTTGATCAGTTGTTTGGTGTCTAATGTCTAGATGCAACATGGTTAGAAAGGCACTTTGTATGGTTTCTGCAAATTTTGTATAATCTCAGCATGTGAAAATCTATGCTTGGTTTAAGACCCCACAATGAAGCTTCCTTAAGTTTATGCTGTCTGCAGTTCTTCCTGCACCTACGCTATCATTTTATACTAAATCTTTACATGTAGGGCTCACTCTGCTGCAGCCTCAATCATTTTACCAAGATCAACATATTCTTTGGGGATTACATGAAACCCTTACATCCCTTTAACCTCATTTTTCTAAGGAATACAAATGATGTCTGTCTAACTTTTGTCATACCTCAAATGATATTCCTTATGCCCATGATCATTTTAATTGCTTCCCAGAATTGTTCAACCGTGCAACATCCTTGCTATAAATTGCAGTAGCCAGTCCACTCCTGCTGCCAGCAGTGCTTCTGTACCAGAGGCTGGAGTAACAGTTCTCAGAATGTGGGCACCAGCTGTCAAATCAGCCACCAAGGTGTGGGCGTGTGTTCAAACACAAACTAAATATAGGCAAACCCACCCATGCCTAAACTTCCTAGCAAGAATTTCATTGCTTTGAAAACAGTAGTGTGATCTGGAGGCAGTGTGCGTCTGCCTGCCCCACTGTGGCGAGGGAGCAGGAGACAAGTAAGAGCTTCTTTTAGCCTAAAGGGTACAATGAAGGGGAGAGGAGGCCAGAATCACAAACCGTGCATTTTGAGCACAATAGAGAGGCATAAGCAGTACTTAACAGACAGAGCAACTCACACCAGAGTTGGAAAGAACAATCATTTTCTGCACCAGATTGCACCTTGAAGCACACTCTAAGCTGCTGAAGGATGCCATCACGTATGTCTGGAAGGACCCTGCCTTTCTGACTTCCACTGGATGAATGGGGGCGGGGTGGGGGGGTGGGGTGGTGTGTGTTTAGATTGGATATTAGGAAAAATTTCTTCACCAAAAAGGTTGTCAAGCACTGGAACACGCTGCCCAGGGAAGTGATTGAGTCACCATCCCTGGAGATATTTAAAAGACCTGTAGATATGGTGCTTAGGGATGTGGTTTAGTGGTGGACTTGGCAGTGTTAGGTTAACAGTTGGACTCAATGACCTTAAAGGTCTTTTCCAACCTAAATGACTCTATGATTCTATAATGTCTCCAGGACCTTCCCTGTGATCTCTGATCTTCTATACTGTGCAGAGCAGTAGTAACTAGAAAGCCACACAATATGAACACAGACACACATAGAACGCGCACAAATACGCAAAGCCAGAAAGGGAAATGCAGATGTCTGTGCACAAAATGTGGTCTTTGTGCAGTCCCTGGAAAGTCCTGTAATTCTGCCTGATGTTCTAAGAAGTCATTAAAGGTCATTGATGTGTTGCTAGAGCACATTATCATACATAACTGCCCTTCAACAACTGTAGATTATAAATGTATGAGGACATGAGTATAAATGAATCAGTACAAACCACCTGAAACACTCACACCTGTCTCCTAAAAGCAGATGGAATAGTTACAGAATTAACAATAGTTTACCCAGCATTAAAAACCTGCTGAAATACTAGAATCCTAATCTTGATTTACAATCAGTTGTACTGATATCTTTCCATGGGAAATACAGGCTTGTAGCATAAGCAAAGAAAAACAATTCCAAGTATCCTAAAATCACTCAGATGGCTTTAAGGATTGGCTTGGGTTGCTTGTATTCAGAGGCATAGAGAGAAGGCAGCATTTAGCTCCTTGCTTCAGGCTTACCATTACTCTGCTGCAGCAACGGCGCAGCTCCAGGGATTAAGAGAGTTAGGACATGGGAAATGGAACTGGACAAAGGGTCAATATTCTTCTCATCCAGTGGGTAATTAAGAGTTTGAAGTGTGCTCGTACTGCTAAAAAAGGAAGTTTTGGGGGACAACCGGATCCCTTCCATACTGCCAGTCCCAGGCCTGGACAAACTCAAACCAGAGAAGACTTCTTGGCTTTCTGTTATCCCACACTTACTGTTTAAAAGAAATGTTTGAGGAGTATTTTGCTGTTTTCAAGTTGTGTGATCAGTTTTTCCAAGTTTGAGCTGTTATACTGTTTGTTTTGTTGTTTTGGTTGGTTTTTTTTAATCAAATGATAAATTATTTCAATGAACTAGTTTGCAAACACTCATCCTAATGCATCAGAACTCATAATCAAGTGACAAATTAGAAGCAGACATAACTCGGACCTTATTTCAAAAAAAGCCCTTTCTGAATTTCCGCTGCTCGATAGCTTTATCCCTTACCAGGTCATCTGCAAACAGCACACAGAAGATTCACAGGCATATGAGTTATTTCTTATTTCAAGAATAAAGGAGTTAAAAAAAAAACCACAACGTGACAAAACAGTTGATTAGTCAACACTAATACATTAATTAGCTGTTGGCAAATCCTGACCTTTTTTTTTTCCTGTAAGAGCACTGTATTTTGCAGCATTAGCAATGTCATTGATCAGATGGAAGTGGTATATTTGAGAAACAGGTAAAGCCTGTTCATGGTATATGTAACACTTTTACCTTTGCTTCTTCTCAGTTAGGAGGCATGAAGAAGAGAAAGCTTGCAAGAACATTCCACCTCTCATTCACGATTCACATGTTATTGCCAGCATAGTAGCTTAATTAGTTTTGCCCAGCTCTTTTTGAGAATGCAATTGTTAAGCTCAAACACAATTACCTGACTTAAATTCATCTTGTTGGCTTTCGTGTGATTTTTTTCTTCACATAATTCTTCAGAGATTGCTTTGTTCTTCCTCCACATTCTTGATCTCTTTTCTAAATCATAATGGACTTCTTCAGTCTCACTGCTGTCTGAATACTCCAAGCTGGTTGCCTGTGGATTGAAATTTACATCCAGTTCTCCATGGAAATGTTTTTTTTCCATTCTGGGCGTATCGCTTTGAGTTCTGCTTTGTAACCAGAGAAGTTTGCTAGGTCCTTTAGCTTCCTGGGATGAGTTTACTGACGATGTTTCCGAATCGGAGAACAGTGTTTCAGTATTGGTGTACAACCCAGAGGAAGGGGAGGTCACTGCCTGGTACTCATCATTGCCATAAACCCATTCAGTACTATACTGGGAATTGGTATAATAGAAATCATCTGGTAACTGCCGAGGTCTCCGACGCAGCTTGTTCAAGGCCACATTCCAGTCGTAGTCATCCTCGCTGTCTGAGCCCATCTCGTCATAGGCAGACACAATGCTGGATTCATTCTCCAAAGCTTTGAATACTTGACTCTTTGGTTTGGCGAGCATTCGAGGACGAGGCAAAGCAACATTCTGCAAAGCCACCCAGTTTCCATCAGTGCTTTGAAAAACAGAAGGAGGATCTATGAAAATGAAACAAGAACAATCGTGATCACAGTGTGAAAGGCTCGTTTTACTTGACAGTTTGCGATCAACTGGCCACAAATTGGAGGGGTCAACAAAACTAATGAACAAACGCAAGTGTTGCTGCTACATGAACTCTCTCATGTTGTGAGCCATGCTGCCATACTCCTTTTAATCAGAAGCCACCACTTAAAGACATGGTCATGACTGTTTAACATTTTGAGAGTACTTGGACCAAAGGTTTTTTCTAAAAGAATTATTAGGAAAGGTTGAGGGAACATCAGTACACAGACATGTATAAATCCTATGTTTTGCAAATGTCTTTGACTCTTTGTGCAGTTCCCCCTCTTGAAAAAGAAAGATGGAAAAAGGATCAGAGAAGAGGAACAAAGGTTGCATCAGGTTCTGAAGCAGTTTCCATTCAAGGAATGATTAAGTAAGCCAGAGTTCTGCCATCTGGAGGAGAGAAGACTGAAAGGATACACACTAAAAGAGATGGGGGAATCTCTTCCAACCTAACTACTAGAGGACATCAAGTGAAACTAGGAAATCAGGGTTCAAAACAAACAAAAGAAGTGGGATGCAACGAGTACCAGACCTATGTAGCTTCTTGACCAAGGGTGCTATGGATGCTAGAAACTAATCCAGGATAAATCAGATGGCTATGGACATGGAAGAGAAATCCACTGAGATTTACTAAGTACAGAAAACCACTTCTAGTTGAGATAGTAATTAAGCTGAATTTTCTAGAGGTTCAGAACCTGCTCAGAGGCAGCTCAAAAAATACTTGCTTTCTCATAATCTTTCCTAGGCTCTTGTTTATGGTTACTGTTGCTGCTGTTATATCCTAGACCATTTAAATGAGCTTTATGTCTGACCCAAGCACTGCTGCTCTTGTATTCTTACACCTTTTCAGAGGATGTTTTGCAATTCCAACAGGGAAAAAAAAAAAAAAAAGACACAAATATGGTTAAAAACTGCTGCACAACTCCGAGAATTGTATTTCTTGTAAAATGTAGATTCCATTTCCAATCAAACTTGAAAAGTCCCTTCATGGGAAATGTTAACGTGTGATGACTCTAACTCCCACAGCAGCTGAATAAAGATATAACACCATGGATTTACACAGACATCTCAGCCTACTGAATGAGCTTTTCAGCCTTACAGATTCCTTCTGTGGGTTCAAATTTGCCATTTCCAGAAAACTGTAGAAATACTTATTATAAACTGTTAGTTTTCTAAAACTGTAAACAGAACATCACTATTTAAAAATGGATGAAGCAAAATCTGGATCAACTGTAGATGATACTCAGGCATCTTGCATTACATGATTACAAATACTTGGAGCTCAAGATTACTTTTTCCCTAGAATTGTTCATAAAGAACACAACTATGCAGTAAAAAGGTGCACTTAGTTCAAAAAAAAAAAAAAAAAAGCCTGTGGTGCACAACCACTGACAAAACACCCCCACAAAAATAAAACAATAATTAAATGGTAATTAAACTGAGGAACTATGCAAGATTTAAAACAGCTTTTGTATTACTCATTTGAGTCCTTTTGGCTTGTTTTAACTTCCTAAATTTCATGCCAATTCAGAGAACCTGAGAAAATCATAGAACCATAGAATAGTTTGGGTAGGAAGGGACCTTTAAAGGTCACCTAGTCCAACCCCCTGCAGTGAGCAGGGACATCTTTAGCTAGATGTCATCTAAATACATCACTAAAGTCATTCTTACTCCTGCTTAAAAAGAAATCAAAATAATAATAGTTTTCTTGTAGCAGTAACCAGCTGAGGATATAACTGAAGTCAGGTTTATAGGCAAAACTGCTAACTCTTTATTGTAACAGCAGATTTTGGAGGAAAAAAAAAAGAATACAAGCTATTGAGCATAAAGAACTGCTTGTTCGCTTTTTCCAACTATGTTCACTAAGTGTAACGGGTCTGCATGGGAAGGTTTTGGTAGCGGGGGG